TAAAGAAAAATATGAAGGTTTGAAGGAAAAAGTTTGAAGGCTGAAGAGAAAAGTATAAAGAATTGAAGGTAGGATAAAGATCTGGGTAAGAACCTAAGAACAAATATGAAGATTTGAAGATCAAAGATGAAGATATGAAGCTTTGAAAGAGTTGGTAACAACTAGAAAATTCGAAGGTGGAAGATTAGATTGGAAAGTGGAAAAAGAACAAAGGGTAGAAACTTTTATATGGGTAGTACGCGACGTTTCGCATTCGGAAGCGACCGGCCGATGGTTGACACGTATCCGAAGTCAAAACGACATGACTGGTGGGACGTTTTGGCTTCCTTATCGTTTCGGTTGTAATGTATGAAGGAAGGAACTGGGGAACATCTATTGTTTCTCATCATTTCGGCAAACCTACTCTCTGAAAAATGAGGGGACTGCCTGTATACGGGTAAAACCGAGGGTAATCTATACGGGGTGAAACGAAGCAAAGGCACGTATACGGGGTCGAAATTCTCGTGCTAAGGTCCAAACGGAGTGGTCTCCATCGGGCTTGATAAGACATTACTTTTTCGATCCCGAAACGAGCTCCGAGACCTCGGAAGACATGATAACGGTTACCCACGACCAACAGAGGGCCGCGATATCCGCACCCCATCAGATATCACGGCGCAAATCTCTGCATGTATCGGTAGTGGATCAGTGATTAACGAAAACGAAGATTTTTTGCCGTTCTTATAATTGTACTAGGGGTGTAACTCTCCTACTATATAAAGGGGGTAGTCTTTATTGAATGGACACATTGTAACACGCATATCAAAGCAATATAATTTCATTTTTACTGCTCTCTAGCTATAGCAAAATTGTTGATTTACTATTCGTTGTTCATTCTCTATTGGCTCCGAACCGAGGGTCCGATCGAGAACAAAACTATTGTCCAGCCCAATTTGCAGTTAGGCCATAGCATTACAACTAGTTTGATTATTCATTTTTTTTTCCATTCATTTATCTAACATCCTCAATTACTTGTACTGAATCAATCCACATATCCTTAAAACCACGTATAAATTTAATTGTTATCCATTTTAAGGGTAAACAGTAGGGCTAAGGATAATAGTGGTGGTTCGATACAAATCTCCATAACCCACTCTATTTTATACTTGTACTTTAAAGTCTTAATTTTAGGTCAGCTTAAAAATGTCAAATTCTCGGTCCGCTAACTTGAACGTTGAGGATGGGTCTGGCCATCATGGCGAAAACAACAATCTGGTGCCTAGTAATGAGGTGCCCCCTGCTGATCCCAACGGGGCCCCAGCCGTAGACCCAGTCGATTCTAACTCACATGTGGCCATCGACGCCAACCATCTTACCGACCCCAAAAAAAGCGTTCGCGGAGGAGCCCGACCAACAGCTCAAAGAGCACCCGAAGGCGAAGGCTACGGGGTCAGTCTACGATTGATCTTCGAAATTTTGCAGGCTCAGCATGCAGCGATAGCGTAGCTGCAAAACCAAAGTCGTGCGCCCAACAGAGTTGAGCCCGAACCGCCTCGGGAAAACACCCGAAGAAATGAGCTATGAAATTCTTGACCAAAGTTTTGTGCATTTAAGTGTTCGTCCTCCTAGTAATTTAACTATTCCTTAGGCACGCGTGCGCGTGTACCCAATGCCAATAAGTACAAAAATTATAAAATCATGTGAATAATATTTTCTTTAGAAGTTAAGGTAGAGTATCATAATATGTTAACTACATTGTTTATAACAGTATCTCAGGCATTTTACCTATATAAAGAACAATCGAACATCAATTTTATTTTGTGTATTATTGATACTGTCTAAAGGTAATGTCCTATTTTTCCGCCAAAGCAAGAAAGGATGTCGTGATATATTTCCTCTCACGTTGAAAGCACAAGCTGTTATGAAGTAGTGTCATATCTCAGAAGCTGCTAGAGTTTGAAGGAATAAATGTTGCATTGTTTCCCTTTGAGACGCCGTGCAGCACCAACATCTCGAATAATCCTCCCTGCTGCAAAATATCATATAGAGTTAGCTTTCTATTGCATATTCCTCTTTGCTCATCTTATTAACAGAAAATCCGCCGGATTTGAACAGAAAATCTCCACTCCCCAAACAACTAATTATTAGCTATTTTTTTCATGAGAGCGCTCTATTCTATATGATTAAAACATGTCATATACAATATAAGTACATAACACTGTTTTTGTTCAAGGTTGATAGTCTCATTCTCCCAAGGGCAATTGAACAAATTTCTAACTGAAAGGAGATACAAAAGTATTCACTATTTTAGAAACTGAAAACTTGAACATTTGAAACCAGCATCAAACCTCTTTATTTCAAAATAGGATGAGGTGTTACAAAGGAATTTTAAATTAATGTTTTGGCTACTGAGGAAGTAGGATAGTTCCAGCAAAACAGAGGTAATAGCAATTGGATAATAATAAATGAATAATAGATAGTAGTGCGATTAAATACTCGGTTAAGGGAACAAAAAGGGTAACTTTGGAAAACAATTACAAAGAGAAATAGGGGAAAGAAAGTCGTGCAGGTGGTAAAGATAAAGCGTAAATTGCTGCAACAGAATGTTTGATAAATCATGCATATGCATATCTAACCAAACTCCCTTTGTATAGTATGATGAGCTTGTAATATCCAATTATCAATTATGACGAACAAATTAAGATAAAAGTTAGATAATATGTATTCAAATACATTCTTATAAGCAGTGAGGACCATACCAGATTCCATTAACATCCAAATACGTTGTTTAATTGGATATCCAGGTGCCTAATTATGAGTACATATCTTACCAACACTTCATCACTAACATATTACAACAAAGTCTCTGTGTCGTACGTTACATTTGCTACAAAGTCAGCCACCTTTTGATTGTTGTTTGTTTTGCCCCGTCTTCACCCTCTAATTATATTCATAGCTAGTCGATACAAAACAAGAATCTTTTACTACTGACAGACATGTTTCAACCATTAAAAATACTATTTTCAACATGTGTTGCTGTCTATGTACATCAGTAAAAGGGTATGCTCTTCTTTCAACCAAATTATTGCACAGAAAATGGAAAAGAAGACATTTTGTTTGGCACGTGTGTCCCACAGGTACAAGTACAGATATTTTAAAAGGTTAGTAATAATATTAAAAGATGTATGTAATGAATAGTATTAAATGTAAGAAAAAAATTACAAGCTCAATTGAAGAATGATTTTTCTATTTGTATGAGTTCATTATCGGACTTCAATGATTATATGTTGTCTGAACCTGAAAAGTAAAATCAGCCAATTTAGTTAGTTATGCAGTATATATAATAATCTAATTACTTGTGTTATTCATTGCAAATATGTTATATGCCCCTACCGTACCTAACACTTCCTTGTAGACGATGTTCTTAGTATATGTTTCACTTCGACGTGTTGGTTGCTCTGTCATGACGAGAACTTTTGTTGTGGACATTGATATCCCTCTTGAAGTGCAACATATAGTTGTCCATGCGAAAAAATATGTTGGGGAAAATACAAGGCAACATTGGGAATGGTTTATCCTTGTGCTTTATTTATTGTCATGTCAAAGCAAAGACGTACTGGAAATTGCTTGCGAATGAAATTGAAAGGATATCTTTCATTTTCAGGGGGTGAAAGCTGAATGCATGGAATAAACACATGTTTTGTTGCACAATGGCCGATCATAATTTCTGCATGTAAAATGTTGTTGTCAAAGCCTCTACATATCATTCTTATTCCGTTACATAAGCCATTTGAAGGGTCTAGGTTCCTGAGTAGCATGATGGGTGCGTTCTTCTTCAACACTAACCTGCATACTAAATTAAAGTTTAAAAGAAAAGTCATTTTTTATTGCATCTTCCAGGTGTGTATGGTTAAGGTAAATTAAAGAGAAATAGTGGAGGAACAAAATATATTTATAAATCATGATGTATATGATAAAATACCTATGCGGGAGGAGACCATTGGGGTGTTAAAGTTTTTAGATATTCTTCCTAGTAATAATTATTGGTGTCATCTTCTGCAGAGTCAAAACTAATAAATATTTTGCTTTCACCTCGGAACATAGCTATCAACATGATCATTTCTGCTTGCTAGGATAGCCCTGATGGGTATATTTCATTTGTTAAATATTTTTCAGCAATACCATCACTATTATACTTGACAATCAAATATTCTGGAAGAAGGATCAAATTGTCTTTTATTATAGGCTCTTCTCTATTGCCAACACAAAGAAAGAACTCACTAAATGTTGGATCAGTTCTTGCTCTCATATTTCGGATAAATTTGATTTTTTCCATCAAAGGCCAGAGATATAATTTTACCAAGCTTGCATTGACTATTTCTACTCTTGTAGATTTTGGAACAACTGGTAATACCTGACAAAAATCTCCTCCTAAAATCATGACTTTTTCACCAAAAAGTTTATCGATGTCCATTATATCTCTAAAGCTCCCGTCGACTGTTTCTATTGTTTGACACTTGGCCATGGGCGCTTCATCCCATATTATTAATTTTGTTTTTCGAATCAATTTGGCTGCACCACTTTGTTTGGACATGTTTGTCATGGTCGTTTCATTTGTTTGGAGAGGAATGTCTACGACCTCCTGGTAAAATTAAAGCTGCTACGCCACTGGTTGCTGTTGCTAAGGCTATCATACCTCTTGATCTAACATTTGCCAGTAATTCTCGATATAAGTATGTTTTTCTAGTTCCCCCAGGTTCATCAACAAAGAATAATCTATTCCTTCCACAATCGACCGAATGCAAAATGGTTTTGAAAGCTTACTCTTGTTCTAGATTTAATTTTGATTGTGCCTCTAAATTTTCTGTAGGTATTTGCACAGATATTTCTTCAACAATTTCTCTGCATTCCGATGGGACAACTTCGGGCGATTGGTGAACAATGCAGGGTAGATTATATTTGTTGATGCTCTTGCCCATACTCTCCAAATAATAGTTAATACTCTTAAGAGTATATTGCATCTAAGTTGTGGGTGAGTTTTCATCTATCCTGCAAAAATCTTCAGATATATCCTCGAAATACGTATCCCAGAGTTTCCTAATGTCTATGGGGTTATAGTGTACCAGAATTGTTGCGAACAAACTTCGGAGAGCTGATGGCATTTTGAAAAAGGCAGTTTCACGCAAACATTCTGATATGTTGTCATCTGATTCTAACAACCCTCTTTCTTTGGCTGCTTCTTTAAAGGTGTCACACTGTCTTCTATTGACCTTGAGTAAGTCCTTGAATGAAAATGGTCCTCTAACATGGTTTAGTAATAACCGTTCATAATACCTTTCTCCCTCCCTAGGATTAGCTGTAATATTTAGTATATGTTAATAAAATTAATAAATGTAAGAGTTGCGTATATATTTAAAAATTAATACTGTATGCCTTACATGTTGTAACTCGACCAATTACAGATCTTATTTTTCTTTTTTTCCAAAGCTTACTTTGAGGATTCCAAACATAATGTTGAGGGAATTCTCTATAAATGTATGTTCGTGCTTCAGTGTCGATGGATCACGTCTTGAAATACTCGGTAAGCATGGTTTGACTGTTGTTGTCCCACTCGATGATACTTTGCAAATTACGGTTCTTCCAATAAAATACTAAGAGTTGATCTAAAGTTAAAATTTTCATATTTATAATTTTACATCAAAATATGCAGCAATTTTAAAATTGTGACTTTAACATTTATTTACCTGAATGTTTGTCAGGAAGATGTAGTTGAAGGTTAATAACGGGATATTGCATTTCACTTATATGAAATTCATAAATTCTCCATAGTGCTTCTGGTGGTGAAACCCACCTCGCATCTTGAAAACTTTGGATCTCATGAATTATTGTTTCTCCATCACCAGACTCAATATAAACAACACACCTATCATGGCCTTTATATATATACTTGTAAAGGTACTTTATTGCTTTTACGCCTGAGCAGACCTCGACATTAATGTGACAATTGTATCTTGTAAGCAAATAAGCATTATAGGACACAACCCATTGGTTATTCATTTTCATTCTGTGAACGATCTCAAACCTTCCATCATTTCCTCTTTTGTAAATAGGATACCCATCCTTTGCTTGCATTGATTTGTTGATAAAAGAGCGAGGATAGTGATACTTGCATTGGCCGTATTGCATACATGAATTCGTTGGATGATGTTGTCCCCATGGACAATGCAGCATATGCTTGACTACTAATTCATGCAAGAGCGAATATTTAGATTTGTCTAAAATTTCTGCAGTTATAAACTTATCGTACTGATCTGCTATTTGTATCTTGTGGCCTTCTTTCAGTATGACCAAAAGGTGTATATGAGGTAGCCCTATTTTTTGGAATTCCACTACGAAGACATGAGCTGCAACAATTCCAATTTTTTTTGTTTTGAAAATTTGGTCTTTTAGGTCCTGCAGTTTTGCTCTTAATACTCTAGTCACCAAGTTTGATCTATCTTGAGGAGTTTGGCCTTTGCCCAATTCTTGTTGGATCTCCACCCAATCAGGATTACATGTCATTGTTATGAATAGATCATGTCTTTTAAAATGCTGAACCAAAGCCATTGCGTCCATATACCGCCTTCGCATATCTCGTGGACCTCCAATAAAAGAAGCTGGAAGTAGTACTCTTTGACCAATTTTATCTCCTCTAGATTCTCCGGCAATAATACTATCAACTATACCTTGATAAACCTCTCTTATAAAATTAGATTGTTCTTTTCTGAAATATTCAAGCCTTGTTGTTTCTAATTTTATGTACATGTCAACCACAAATTGCTGCAATAATCTTCTACAATATAGTAATATGGACCCTTATGATTCCACACTTGTAACTTATAGCAGTAATATTCTCTGCAAGAAACAACGCCTTTTGTTTAGCGGTGCACATCTACAAATTATAATAAGTATGTTATATGTAATCATATATAATTATAGTATATTTGTAATTGAGATGTGTTACCTTGATCTTCGTAGGCGAATATTGAATTTGCTAATATAAATGTTGGAATATTATTGCTCAGTGTTATGGAGGAGCCTTTTATTGTGTAATGTTGTGATTTTGTTTGTTTCCTTATTCCTTGATGCCACCCACCTTCGCCTCTTGGAAACAATAACGGATATTGCAATGGATCATAACAACCATAATAGTTCTTGACGCGATGTTTGTTCCCAGAATGTTCATGAACAATGATCTCCCAGTCGAAGGATATATTTGGATTGTTTTCATCTATCCAAATTGCTGCAAATTGATCTACCGAGGGTCTGCCTTATTTTTCTCATGAGTGTGTTTGACAGGTTGCCTTCTTTGATTTTTTATATCCTATTGCCCAACTCATTATCTGTATCAAAAAAGTATAGTTGAAAGTAACAAGGGTTATTATCCCGCGGTACCAATGATTGTAGATCGTGATATACTTAACCCTGTGCCTTAAAAGTGTACACTCCTTTTCTTGAGGATGCCAATTCCTTATCAAGCATAACACTGAAAGATGTAAATGCAAAAATGCTGTTAAATGCTTGGATATTTTTGCTAAATTCTGTAGCTTCTTCTGTGTCAGTCATGATCAATTCATGTAGTTCTGCGGGAGCTTCAGTGCTAGCCAATTTGATATATCCGTTTCCACAACAAAATGCCGGAAGTTCTGTAACGACCTGACTTGTCGTTTTGAACATTTACGCTCCTTCTAACTATTTGAAGTTTTAAATAGCTTCATATGATATATTAGAACGTATGTGAATCATCGATATTAATTTTCAAGTATTTCGGAATTAGTTCGGAAGAATAAATTTTATGTTGGAAGCCTTAAATTGAAAGAGTTGACCAAATTTGACTTTTTAGTATTCGACATCATATCGGAATTTTGATGGTACCGTTAGGACCGGATGGTGATTTTGAATTTGGGCGTATGCCTGGATTTGCATCTCAATAGGTCTAGAAGGTTTCAACACTAATTGGCGAAAGTTAAAAATATTAAGTGAAAAAGGTATTTTAATTTGCACAACACCTATCTTTATATGGGTATAACTCTCATAATGTTAAGATACTTTCCATAAATTTTGTACCTAGAGTATAGCCCTTTGATTCTAGTTTCTAACGCATCAAGCCGTTTGTTATTTGGACATTCCTACTAAAAGTTATGATCAAATTACCAAAGTTAGATCACCTAGTTATTTTGGCGGACAGTGAAGTAAGGGTCACTTCGCCAGACCGGGCGTGGATCCTGTCTTCTCTTGCGTGCAGTGGATAGCAAAGTAAGGGTCACTTCGCCAGACCGGGCGCGGGTCAGCTCCAGTTCTTTTTAAGCCAATTCGGGGCTCATTTTCCCCATTTTATTTGGACGAATTTTGGAGCTCTTCTCCACTATCTCAAAACCACTAACTCCCCTCTTCTTCAAGGTAAGCAATCTCCATTATCTTGGTGTGAAATGTTATTATTTCTACACTAGTATTGATAAAATCTACACATGAAATACTTAGATCAGAAATTTCTTCAAGAACTCAAAGGAGGGTTTTGCAAGATTTCTTCCAAAAGGTAATCCTACACCCTTAGATTTACATGTATGGATATATTATAGGAATATGAGTATGAATTAAGTATTAGAACTTATGATATGGTGATTGGAAGTCATATGTTCCCAATTTAAATATATAACCATTGTAGAAATTGAAAGGTGATTATTTGATGAAATTTTGTTGGTTGGGTGTGGATGGATTGTCATGTATGTGACGTTGGAAGTTATGAATTATTTAAGAGAGAAGGTGGGATAAATTGTTGGTAAATGATAGTAGTTGGATGAACTAATTCTATGGTTAATATATGTAGAGATTCATGCCTACTAGGTGTTTGATAAAATACTTAAATTACCTAAAACCTGAAAATTTTGCTAATATTGGTCCAATCGAATTATGTTGATGTAGATCGAAGTTGTAAGAATAGTTGGAGGTTTTAATATCACTAAAGATTTGAATCAAGAAAGCTCGGTTTGTAGCGATTTTGCCGAAAATGTTTCAAGCAAATATTTATCTGGATTCGAGCCATTCAGAGTTCGATAATCACGGAAAACAACTTACCAGTGGATTGAGTTGCTTGAGATAAATATCTTTCCTAACCTTGAGTGGGGAAATTACCCCTTAGGCATTGAGTCTTATGTGGAAATTATGTAATTGAAAATTATATATGCGAGGTGACGAGTACGTACTTGGTTTATATGTGCAGATTATATCAGTTGAAATTCGTAGATGTCCTTGTATATTAAATTGGAAAATTATTGGAACTTAGTAAATCCTTGATTTGTCATACCTCATTCCTTGTTTGCCGAGTTTGTATTTTATATGATAATTTAGTGTGATTGCCACTTGAATTTTTATGTGAATTCCGTGTGTGTTGATTTGATATTTATTGGAAATAATCACATTATGGATTTTTCATCTGCAAATAATTAATTAAATAAGTTTAAAAATTGAGGCGTTTATATATTTATCAAAAAGTTGGATTAAAGAAGGCGTTGTCCCGTGATGAGTTATTTTCCCATCCTTGTGGTTATTTTTGATATTTTATATACATTGTGTTGAGCCGTGGACTATCTGTTGCGAAATTGACTTTATTGTACCTTTGGAATGATTGTGGCATGCGGGCAATTTGTAAATACGAGTTGATGATGATGTGCTGTTGTGATAATATCCTATGTAAATTGTTATGTGAGTTGGGTTACTGTTATGCAGCGTATAAGGGTGGCATTCCATTGTTGATATTATGTGGGCATAAGGGTGGAATTTCACTATTGTTATATATGTTGAAATTTTGTCTGGGCGGAGCGATAAGGGAGGCTATTAAACGGAGCGATAAGAGAGGCTATTATATGAGCGATAAGGGTGGCTATATGAGCAATAAGTGTGGCTATAAGAGCGATAAGGGTGGCTATTGATCTTGTCAGGACGGAGGGACAAGAGAAGCTATTATAGGAGTGATAAGGGTGGCTATATGAGAGGTAAGAGTGGCTATTGTCAGGGATGATATGTGGTGATATGGGGTTATTGTGTTGGTAATTTTTATGTGATGATATGGGGTTATTACGTTGGTAATTTTCATGTGGTGCTTTGATTTGCCTTGTGTTTATTTTTATACCTTGTGCAACTTGTCTTGTTGTTTCGGTAAACTTGATAATAGTCTGATCTATGTTGAAATTGTGAGCCTGTGGCTATTGCCGGGTGGATTATGTTATATGGGATCGGGTTGCACGTCGTAACAGATATGAAATGTGGGCACGAGGTGCCGGAGAAAATATGATAATTTTTATTATTGGCACGTGAGTTGTCCGTGCGGTTTTGATAGAAATATGGGCACAAGGTGCCATGAAAATATGAAAGTGGGCTGAGACCCGTGTTACAAATATATGAAAGTGGGCTGAGACCCGTGTTATGAAAATATGAAAGTGGGCTGAGACCCGTGTTACCAAAATATGAAAGTGCGCTGAGACCCGTGTTTTAGGTTTATGAAATGAGGTATCACATAGTGATATTTATATGAAAGAATTTTTATATCCAAAAAATATTTATTTGAAAGAAATATATTAGGAAGGTATTTATTCAAAAGAATTATATGTGAAAGATTTATATTTGAAGGACTTGTTTAATTGGTTGTACTTGTGTTCCTTATTCGTTTGAGTAATAATTATGGTGTTCTTGTTGCCTTGTTGTTTATATCACTAGTTGATTTTTATTGCTATTACTGCTAGTTATTTTTCAGTACTATTGTATACTGCTATAATGCACAGGTTATTTAATTAGTGAGTGTCTTGACTGTACCTCGTCACTACTCCACCGAGGTTAGTCTTGATACTTACTGGGTACCGACCGTGGTGTACTCATACTACACTTCTGCACATTTTTTTGCAGAGCCAGGTACTAAAGATATTGGACTCGAGCAGAATTAGTGTGTTGATCACAAGGATTCAAGGTAGAGCTGCTTGGTCGTCATAGTCCCTTGGAGTCTTTCCATTTTATTGTACTGTCCACTCTTATTCGATCAATATTGTATATTCGATCCTTGAGATTATTGCATGTATTCAGTTAGAGTTCGTGACTCAGTATTACCAGTCTTGAGAGGTTGTTATATTTATTTCTGCTTTTGGTTTCGACACGTGTATTCGATTTTCTATTTCAGAAAAAAATGGCTCGAAATGTAATTGTAATCGGCTTACCTAGTCTTAGAGACTAAGTGCCATCACGACGCCTGTGTGGTGGGATTTTGGGTCGTGACAAGGTCGTATCAGAGCTCTAGATTCATAGGTTCTACTAGTCACGAACGAGTTTAGTAGAGTCTTGCGGATCGGTACGGAGACGTCTGTACTTATCTTCGAGAGGCTACAGAACTGTTAGAAAATTTCCCCTTCTTTCATTCCCGTCGTGTCGAATTTGTTGATTTTAGAGTTTGAGCCTTTGTATCTCTATTCTCTCAAGATGATGAGGACACGTGCTACTGGGTAGCTGAGCAGACACCCCCGCATTCTGCTAGGGCCACAAGAGGCCGGGGTCGAGGTAGAGGCCGAGGAAGGGCACATGCCGCAGTTAAAGCACATATTAGAGCGGCAGTTTAGGAGCCGCCAATAGCTCTAGTTAGGGGACAGGTACCGGAAGCACCTGGTGTTACCCCCAGACTTTGGTAGACTTTAGCACAGTTCCTGAACATGTTTGGAACATTAACTCAGGTGGGATTGATCTCTGTTTCACCAAATATTTCACAGATTGGGGGAGGAGTCGAA